GCGGGGGTTCCCAGTACAGGTACGAGGACTCCACGGGGGTTAATCGCGACGGTGGCACCGGCGAATGATACTTGTTACTCGTAAGTTGTCTCTCCTTACCCAATCATTTCTAGTAATAATATCTCGCGAACGTAATGACGAGAAGCTTAATTGGATTCTGCTGCGACTTCGCACGAAGAAAAAGTTGCTTGAGTAATTTTTATCTTACAAAACTAGTAAAAATATTCTAGCTATTTTCGCCAAACTTATGACAAATATTCTACTTGTTTGAAAGTAAAAATACCGAAAGTGCAAGGTAAAAAGTACATTATAGTAACAACTTGTTACTACATATACTATAATACATATACTACATTATAGTACAATTGTAGTAAATCCATTCAAGTGATTATTATCTTATAGTATATAATGCAGTAAATCATACTATTCTCAAGCACGAACAACTCTCAAGATTTTATAAGCTTGTATTTTATACAAGATTTTTATCGCGCAATAAAGTAAATTTTATCAACACTAAAGCAAAGATATTCGATAAAGTGACTTCTATTGAGATGTACGGTATATTTATAGATTTACTTTACGAAATGTAAAAAGTACCTTACAATATGACTGTATAGCAATCGTTTATTTACTAAAAAAGTAAGTTTTACGTAAATTAGCCCTCTGTATGAACCTGCCAATTCTGGCGCAAAATTTACTAGAATCTAGCGCATATTATGGTGCGATTCTCGATCTTCACGCTGCAAATGCTTTGAAGCATTCTTTGATTGATCAATTCATAAAATTCTTTCTTCTGATTGGCTAACGAAATATTTGCAGCGTTATGTGAATCGCACCCTAAAACTTTCAGAGTGAATTATTATTAAAAATGAAATCTCACTCTAATTAAAAATTAAAAATTGAGTCACTTTTCTTCAAGACTATTTCAGTTTTCACTCTTTAGAGTGAGATTCTATTCCAAAGAATTTAGAGAATACTTTACATTTTTCTCTGTGTGCGAACCCGCATTTGGGATAAGATGACTATTTTCGCAAAGCGATGAAGAAGGACGAAGAGAAGCGTTTTCTGGATGAACTCATCGATTTCTCGCGTACCACTTTTCCCGCACATATATGCATACGAGCTGCATTATACGTTTCCTACGCGAGAACGGCTTTTGTTGCTAATAGGCTGAGGCTTAAGGGTCAACGGAACACGTCGGAAATTTATCATCTTCGCTTACTTCTTGGATATACCTACACCTCGTATATCGTCCGCGCGATTCCTCCTCGTAACGGTTGGTTTACCACTGACCGTGTCATTAAACTGACGTAGCGGCGAAACGTCAAAAGCGAAAGAATGGAATTTCCTTTTTCTTTTTTGAACTTGTTGATCGCGATACGGCAATAATGTCCGTCTTTCGTGATTGTGCGAGTAACGAGGGCACTGGAACAGCCGATATTTTCGGAGGTCATCGCAACGTCAGATTGAATCTGATTGAGGGTTCATTAGAAACAATAGGAGTTGGATTCGTTCCAAAGCAATCAGATAGGATACGAAATGTATAAATGATTCACAAACTCTGGTAACGTAGCGGGATTGTCCGATCTGCACGAACGTCCATGAAACGTACGAGTTAGATGCCATCCTCAAATTATTCCGCAAATTCTCGTGCGTTTTTTGCGTTTCAAACGCTGTTCAACAATCCTTTCTACAGAATGAGTCCCAGACAACATCATACGGGGAAAGCTATAAACGCGTATGAATATTTATGTATGAATATTCATTCTATACGTTCACCGTGGACAGTGAACGTGTCAAACGACATCCGATAAAGCTTTTACACGCCATGCGTTACCGATTGTTGCATTCGCCATTATGTCCAAGTGGATCAAGGTTTTTGTCGACTATTAACGTAACATAACTAAACATTGATACGCAGGAACGGCGCGACTTAATCACCGTTATTCATCTGATAGCTCCGGATTAATTAATATTACAGCTTCGAAACAATGGAATGACCACGGTGACTAGTCTTAACGAAAAAACTTGCTCGTCATCCTTCGAGCTATTATTAGCGAAGCGTATTTATTGTTGACGTTTATAAACGTATACGTTTTGTTAATTCGATCGTCGTGAAAAATTCTATATAACGCTTTCAACGCGAATGTCAAATTATAAAATTAAAACTTGTGTTACCTACGTTAAGTCGCTTTTACATATACGTGGTGTCCAGCAAAATCTGGACACTAGTCAATTCAAGGATAATTCCAGGTCTTTCCAGGTAAAAATCCTGATTTTTCCAGGATTTATCTATCGATTATTTTAATTATATAATTTTCATCGATTCGTGCAATATTATACGCTTTGTATTCAAGTTAGGATTCTATACGAATGAATTAAAATGTTAACAAATTGGGAACTATATTATTTATTGCTTTATAAATAATATCAAAGAAACGTTCCGTCCACACAAATGATTTTTTACTATGATCTATTTTAGACATTAAATTCAAGTTTTCTATTGGTAACTTATTGCATCTTTAAGGAAGGATTTATGCCCAAACACAACTTTTCTTTTTATTATTTCTTTTTTTCACGCTCTGATTTTTTTAGAAATGAAAGAATAATAAATTCCATGCCAGCCCTGCAATTTCAGGGGTTTTCCATGAATTTTCCAGAATTCATAAAATTCCAGTATAATTTCAGGATCCAAGAATATTCAAGAACCTCTGGACACCATGATATACATTCGATCTTAAAAAATATCTTAAGAGTATACTTAAGACGGTCTTAAATATAAAAATCGACTATGAATACCGGCCTTTGATTGATTCATGACATCTTAAGGGTGTACTTAAGGTCTCAAACATAAGATCCGACTACAAATACTGATCTATAAGTGAGCTTACACAATCTATACGAATTTTTAAGCGAGCGATGAGCACGACGATTTTCCTCATTCATCACCTGTCAGATCACCCTGCCTCGTCAACCTACAGCCCCCATTTCCCTCGGTGGGAAGATATGCGCGCGCGACGAAAGATCTCAGAAGTGGGACACCTTCTCTTATCGCGCCGGAGCATCCCGCAAACGACGGGAACGAGCCACGTAGAAAGGCAGAAGGGAAAGGATGAGGATTCCGGAGTGAGAGTACCGAAAGAGCACTTAGGGGAGCTAAGTGCTTCCGAGAGAGAGAATGGCGAAAGATTTGATTTATCGTTATTCGTCGGAATAATCAGAGAATAAACATTTTCTTTACGATAGATTTAGTGCTACTCTTCCAAAGGTTGATGTTCCTCCCGTTTCAGCGGGGTCCAAGCTCAGTCCCAAGTGTCACTGCGCTTCGGCGCTTATTCGAAATTCAGAACTGCTGGAAAGTGGCCGGATAGTGAAGTGAGACCCCCCTCGGTACCCCCTCGATCGAAATGACGATGAGGAGAGACGGGGGCAAAAGTCGGGGCCTGAAGCGTAAGAAAGGAAAGGGGAGGGAGACGAGAGCGAGAAAGGAAGGAGTTGTTGGATTACCGCTCGGTGGGCACACGACGTTTCGATCGAGCTGGCTACCATAGAGCCACAGAAGACCGGCTGCCTCCGACGGAACCGGTTGGGTGTCAAAAAGGGCAACGACGGGAACTGGCAGGTTCCATCACGAGCGAGCCATGAGCGGGCAAAGCGTGGACATGGTCTGGGACCCGCAGACCCAGACTAACTCGTTAGAAGGCTGGGATTATTCTATCGAGCTCGCGTACCTTAAGAGTCTTAAGGGGTCCTCCTCCGAAAGTAGTAAGTAAGCGCGAACGTAAGAGGAGATGATTGGAACCTGTGCGGGAAAGATTGACGGTGCCACAATGTGCGGTGTTGTTGTGATCAAGAGAATGGTGTTTACTATGGAAGAAGTGATAACGTTAAGAGAGGTGGTAGATTATTGCGATCTTTATCGTGTGTCGAATTGTAACTATTGTGATATCGAAGAACGTACACTTAGAGAAAAACAAATGGCAACTATGTAACAATAACTGTACATAACAATTTTATATGCGTAGAATTAATTTACATTGTCGAATAAAAACTATTTTGTAATTACTGTAATTATATACATTAATTCTACATATAAAATTTGTACAGTCACCTATGTAATTGCTATCACTATATTTTTCTAAGTGTATAAAAAGGATAGAAGAGAGGTATCTCCATTCCATCATAAAATCTATAAAGATATATCGATGAATAGAAAGGATGTTTTTGTTGAAGCATCTAAAAATTTAGCTAAGTACAGATCTGAAAATAACTTTGTTGGACCATTAAAATAATTATGTAGGGCGTTCAAGCTGGTTGCTAAAATATCGAAACTTTTTGCAACATTATTTATCATCTTGAAATTCCTACGTAATTATTTTAATGGTTCAACAAAATTATTTTCAGATCTCTATCTAGCTAAATGTTTAGATACCTCAGCAAAATAATTCTTTCCGTACGTGTTTGTTTTATTGCGCAGATGCGCATGTTCAATACTGAAATATATTTGGACGGTTTTGCAGCAGTTTTATGCCGTGCTCCGTGGCATTTAAAAGTATTTAAAAGTCAAATGAGAAAATGAGAACTCCGTCCGTGAACTTCGCGGGTCACGTTGTTTCATCGCGACACCGAGCACCGAGTACCGCGAAACGGTAGCTCGGTCGTTTGCTCACCGCGAGAAGGTCCTTGGCCCTAGCCGGTGTCAGAATGAGCTGGGAGTGCCGCGAGCGTGAACCAGCAACCTGCAACCTGTAACCGTCGCTCGGCAGGCTGCATAATTATCATTCGAAGCGAGTCCGGGACGATTTCGATTCCATAGATATTCCTTGCGAATTCCCTCAGGTTCAGTACGATGATCCGGAACTGAAATTATCGTTCACGCTTCGATTCTCTCTTCCCTGCGCGTTATACCTATCAGAGATTCAATCCGGATAGATTAAAAACAAGAAATGCGCTCGTGCAAGGAAGCGTTCATGCAAAAATACGCCTCACGTTTTGCGCAGATCTACAGTTGGCGGCGGAGCTCGGCAAGACCCTCCTGGAACGGAATAAGGAGTTGGAGAACATCATCAAGTTGCACCAAGCTACCGAGGAGGAGCAGACGCAAGAAATCGAGGTTACTATAAATCTTGCAGTAATTTTTTTCCCTGTATAATTGTTACGGTTTGAACGTAATTGTTTAATTGTTGCCCACGGCGAACCGGTTATCCTTCGGTTACTTTCTGACAATTTTAATAATAATCTAATAGCTCCCGCGTCTCTCTCTTCCGTATGGCATTTTTGTAACGTACAAGACTTTGAACAGCGACAATCGCGGGGCACAGTAAGAAAATTCGAGTCGTAACGATTTGCGGAGTTGCTCAACCTCGAAATTGCCCTGCCCGATGAATACGCGTGTTATTTGTTCGTTCCGCAGTACATGAAAAAGCAGATTGCCGCCCTGAGGGAGGTGAATAATACACGGCTAAAAGTCTACGAACAGCTGGAAGTTAGCGTGCAAGATCTGGAACGTGCGAATCATCACCTGGTGATCGAAAACACGAGCGATAAGAAACTGATCAAAAGGTAGGCGTTATCTTCCTTCTTTTTTTTTTACGCTATTTCTTCGGTTGGCGAAATGATTTTCGAATAAGGAGGAACAAAAGAAGAAAGAAAAATTGGCATTCTCATTCGAAAGAAATATACCGCTTGATATTCCAGATAAGATTATATTAGAAGTATCGCGGAAAAGTGCCGGTCTAACGAGATCTGTTATTATATCTTGTTAGCTTCGTATTGTATTGGCTACGTGAACCGTTCTAAGCTCACCTTTCTAAATGCATAATTCATGCACCGTCTGATACAATTAAAGTTCATGGAAAGTTATTAAGTATTATTTTCCTATTTAACACCATTCTAATCTCCCTAATGGAATCTATTTCTCCCAACAATAAGCTTTTCTATTATTAACGATATACGATGTGTAATTCTGTCGGGATTTCGGGGTCAACGTGCTTCTCTCGTACATATCGGGCTAGACGCCTTATTGCGCTTTGGCTTTCCGCGATTGACCCGAAATTCCGGAGAAACTTCGCCGGAGACGCGCTGCGCATTTCTCCGAACGAGGCGACATTTCGAACAGATGTCCAGCCGTCGGAGAAATTGCGATACCGTGCAACGTTCCGCAATAACGAGACTCCTACTGATAATCATATAACGATTTGCGCGCGACCAGCCAATCCGTGACTATCGAGAATCTGGAAGTAAGATGCGAGGAGCTTCAGAAGAAGATTGACGACCTGACCGAACGACTGCGCCAGCATGCCACGAGCCCGTCTAGGAATAATGCGCAACAACAACATCAGCAACAACAACTGCAGCAGCAACAGAGTACCGATTGGGAAACTTCGGATACGCAAGGTGGCAGCGAGAAACAGGTACAAATGGTTTCGATATTTTATGTAACATAACATCCCAGACAACACCAAATACGAAATCGGGACATAAAATGTTCTAAGACGTCTTTTACAAAAAGCCTAAGACGTCCTTCAGACGTTTTTAAAACATTTTACTTCCCGTTTTTGGACATGCGTGTTGTTTGGAATTATTCTTTGCTTTTCCGAGTCTTCAAAGAAAAGAATTGACACTTTTGTTCAGAGAGCTGCCCCGAGCTCATCGAAGTCCTCCCAAGAGACAATCGAAGCTACTGCGACGAGTGACGAAGAGATGACCACATTGCTGACGCAGCTGCAGGACGCTCGTAATCAAAGGGCTAGGGAACAGAAGAAAGTATCCGAACTCAGTCAGCAGCTGACTACCTTGTTGCAGGAGAACGGCGCATTGGAGGAACAATTAACGGAGTGGCGTAATAAGGCGCAAGATGTAAAGAGTCTGCAAGACGAGATTAGCACCTTGGAGGAAGTCAGGTACGTGCGTTCTCATTCATTTCCCTTTCTTGAACGTAGATCGCTCCATATATCTAATTAAAAGCTACTTCGCGAGAAGAAATTCACCCTTAATGTAAATGAGAGTGAGAATTGGAACGTAAAAGTTGCATGTTATCGGTATAAAATTTTGCATAAAGATATCGACGTGACAATATTTGTGAAACAAGTGAAAATGTCTTTACAGACGAGGTCAGTTATGCGGGCGTTGTTTGCGCGGCATGGACACGAGAACGCACGACGAACTTTCCATAATGTTAGATCAGGAAGAGTATGACGACATAAGTATGGCCGAGTCTTTAATCAGCGAGAATCAGCGCGACTCCGAATTGCCTGTACAGGTATTTTTTTTTTTTCTAACATTTGGTTCATCCTTGCGAACCATTGTTTATTAATATATGTTTGCACGAATCGAGTCTCTTCTTTTTTGCTCGAGTTTGTCATTACAATGTCGCTTCTTTTGATCAGTTATGCTTGCCTAGAATAGTAATTATCTTTTATCTGCTTTAGGAAGTGACAAACTTCGCGAAATCCAAGCCAAAGACAGAACATAAATGGTATAATTCGTTGTTATGGAGGATATTTACTTACACGAAAGTGCCATTGTTATTATTTCATTTTTCCGAAGCAATTGTTTATGTTAAAGCTCATGTCATTGTTCCGATATTGCTCGCGCCTTTTCAAATACTATTGTTCATTCTTCGTAAAATGTCTCTTATTGTTTTTAAACTTTGGCTGTTCGGACATCAGAAATCAAAAATTCTTTAACTCTATATGTGATGCGCAGAAAAAAATTTAATTAATTCCCACACAGCATACTTTATCCAAGAGACATCCTGGAAACGTCTTTAAGATATTCAGAAGACATAGGACTGTCCTCTGAATATCTTTAGAACATCCTTGAAAGTCTATGTTGTATGTGTGGATTGAAGATAATCTCTTCCTAGGAACAATGAAGATTTTAATACATTAAAAATTTTTTAATTAACTCTTTACTATTGTATACATACAAATTGCTATTGTATATATAATTAATGTTAATGTTTAATAAATTTTATTTTGTATGATATTTTTTCTTGAAATGACGCGCAAGTATAGATGTACATAATATATTAATAACATATATACTTGTTATGTGTCATATTAAAAAAAAAATTGTTTTCTTATTTTATCTAATTTTATCTCACTGAAAAATTAATTTACTGTTCAAAGAAAATTTTAATTGTTTATTCAAGCGTAAAGTGCCTTTTTAATGAATGCTAAGATAATTATAATGTCCAATATACTGCGGCAAATTGACCATTTAATTTCTAAAGATTATTAAAACTATGTCCATTTTACTCGGCAATATTAAGGACCTAGGATAAGTAAATGTAAATATTTGTGCTTGTTCTGTTGTTCTAAGCATGATGGCTCTTGTTATTGGAATCGCTGCGTCTAGTCGAATTATTTTAATTGATTACTTTGTACAATGTATAAGTGCCAGATTTATAAGATCTTAAATAAAACACATCTTCTCAAAGAACTTTTTGCAATCTTTAATATCCTATAAATCTGGCAGCTCCTTTGCCTTTCTGCTTCCAGTTATCCTTCATTTCTATGCAACATTTCATATCATTACTAACGTAAATTGAAATGAAGAAATAAATAAAAAAAGTGTTACGTATAACATTTTATATGAATATAAAAATGATATGTGACTTTCTACGAGATTCTAGATTTGTGGTAAAATTTGAACGCTGATCGCTTTTCTCGCGTACATATCCTGTACTCTTTCTCAATTAAATATTCGTATTAATCATAACCGAATTTCATCGTCATAATCATTTTCATAATTTCAACTGCACACACGTTAATTACCTGCACACAGGATACATGCAGCAAAAATGAAGGTACCGACGAACTGGACAGCGCGAATCCTTATCGGGTCTTGGTAGAGAAGTATCAGGCTTTGTTGGAGGTGCAGAGACACTGTCAGCCTCGTCGCAAGGACGCTACACCCGCGACATGCATGTCGTTGCAGGAAGAGTTGGAGATGTCCGGAGAATTTAACAATTTCTATCCCGCTGCTTCCGAGGCCGAGGTTGCTGCTGCTCCGGAATCGATCAAGACCGCCTCGCGAACCAAACCTGAGAACGCCGGCAAGAAACCCTTCTCGGCCACTCCGACAGATTTCTCTGAAGCCGAGACGTCGTCTTCAGGGTTCTCGGACGAGACCAGTAACAAGGCGACGCAGACAGACGGCAGGCCGGGTTCGTTCCTATGTTCCATTGCTGACGGCGAAGACTGCAAGTTCAGCATTTATGATGACAACAGTCCGTTCGAGAGCAGATTTCGCAAGACGCCCGAGTATCGACAGCTCTTCAGCGAGATCTTCAGCGTTTTGAAACGGGCAGCTGAGGCGAAGGATGAGGGCGAGAAGTTGCCGTTGCTGGACGAACCCGCTACATCGCAGACGAAGTACGACGTGTCGTTTCAAGAAGATTTACAAAGCGAAGCAACGGATGACAATCAAAGCATCATGTCCTCCATGGTATCGTCGGTGGTTTCGGAACCAGTCTTCAGGGTGCAGTCCGCCAGCCCGGCCAACTCGAAGGACAGCAAACAATCTGACAAGTCCAACAATATCTCCGCGAATCAACAGCCCGCAAAGGACGCAAGCTGCAGACTGGATTACGTGTCTCTTAATTTACGCGTTCGCAAGAAGACCTCGACGAAAAAGAACGCCTCTAAGAAGGCGCAATACAACGACCGGTCGACCACACCGGACGTTATTCCCACGACGAATCCGAAATTCGTCCCGGCCAAACCTAACAGCGGCCGAAGAAGATTCAAACCGTTCAATCCTGCCGAGCACGAGCACTCCGGTGCGTGGAACGGTCAGCACAACGCATATCCGAATCGGTCAAGGGATAAGAAGCTGTACGGTCGTGGCTCAAACGAACAGCAGCAGCAGCAACAGCAGCACAACAATTACGAGTACAAGGATTTCAAACCTAGCACCGCGTCGGAAGAAGTGGCTCGGCTGAAGCGATTAGAGATGTCTTATGCAGAAGTTCTTCGTACGCCTAACAACAAATCCAGAGCCAATAATCATCATTATCGTAGAAACCAAACGGGATGAATGAACGGACGGAACGAAGTTCGTACAAGATCTAGAGTTTTATATTTGGATTTCGATTGTATCCTGACTAAAATAGAGATGTCACGTTGATCAAGCATCATTCATCCCGTGATGAGATCCAGTATTGTTTTGTACTTTCTTGTAAATATTCAATGACGCGGATACGTTTAGCGGCATGTTTCTATAATAGGCACTAATTAACGCGTCCGCATCTTAGTTTTAAGTTTGAACATTTCATATTTCATTGTATATCCCCTTTCCTTCCACGCGGTGAATGTATAACGATGAGTATTGACCCCCTGTGGCATCGTCGTTAGTCGTTACGGAGAAGAGAAAAATTTATCCATGTGCCATTTACTCTCCGTGTCAAAATATCAACTTCCGATTTTAAAACTCGCACTACTCTTCGATAACGTATAACTTTCTCCCGGGGAGATAGTGCATGTCAGCAACATGCGTGGTGTGTTAGCTTTTGTATTTTATAGATATGAATATTGTGATGATGTTGTACGTATAAATAAATAAATTCTTTATCGTATTAAGTCGCTCTTCCCTTTTTCGCGCTCTATTGAGTAAGGTGGTGCAATTTCAAATGTAGTACAAATCTGAATGAAATAAAATTTGAATCCAATTTTCGAGTTTAAGTTTGGTTCTTTCTGATTGGTGTGGTTCTTTTTAATACCCTCCAAACAATGAGATCAAAGTTGCTAAATTCGCACTTGAATTTAGATTCATATTTTCTTTTTCTTCTTTAAGGTCCTATATGGTTTTTCAACCACTTATAAGGTTTCACAATACCACGCGATAAGATGGATCTACTGATTCAAGGACAGAGACCATACGTAGTCAATTTTTGTCTCGTATCAAATCAAAGTCTCATAGATCTTTCTATATCTTTATGACTTAATTACGATATCGCGTAAGACACATTAGAGCAATAATGCTCTTTAAACGAAGACACAATTTTAGTATTTATCAGCAAGGTGTTCTCCTAAATGCGAAAAATCGCGTATATGGGGCACAGGTGGAATCGAACTCGAATCCATGGATCGCGAGTCGATCACTCAGGGCATGTTGCCACTCGTGCCACCGATTTAAATCTTATTCCATTCAGAATTATATCCACATTCGAAATTGTACCATTTTATCCTCTATACGTGATTATTATAAAACGGATCCTCAGTGAGAAAATAAATTTTTCCAATACTTGTTTCTCTCTGCATAAATTTATAATAAGAGTCTGAAAAAAATGACTCGTCCAACATATAAACATATACAATGATTTTTGAAATTCGAAACCATGAAAACCACATGATATTAAATTTGAATAATAAGTTACATTTCTGATCGTACGCACGCGTGAATGGTCATCATGACTTCATTTATCTAATATCTATATCATACTTCTAATACAATATCAAAGTTGCTGAAGGAGTATCATTTTATTTGTATATTAAATGTACAAGAAGCAGCTTGCACCCACTATTTACGTGGTTCCGTGGCCGTATTATTTTAACTAGTTTTTTCTCCATGTTTTAACATCTTTATTACAAGAACGCCTGAACTTTTTCTATTATCTTAAATATTAAAGAATAGTTTGCGATCTCTAATATTTTAGACACTTAGGTCCAATTTCATAACTCGCGGTTTAACTCTTAACCGAGGTTCATTCTAGAATTAGAAAGAGAGGAGAAACAAGTTAAAGAAACAAGTTGAACTCTTAACCTTGGTTAAGAGTTAACCGTAAGTTATGAAACTGGGCCTTAATACATTATAACTTAATACTTACATTAGTAATAAGTTATATATTTATAAATAACTTATTACATTTAAAGTAAGACATAAGAACAATAAAGTTACAACTAAAAAGTGCATAAAATATAAGAGGAGACGTTTATCTGTAAAATTAATTTACAAAAATTTTACAAAAATTTTACGAGCGTTCGTGTTATTGGTCGTTTAGACCATATAGACTACCAAAGATAATGAGTGGTATAAGTTTATTAATACAATTACAGCTGGGAATTGGAGTTGCGCATATCGAGTCGCGTGTTTCGTCATTTCTCCATTCGCTTTCCTAAGAATAATCTGCGTAATGTCCATTACACATACATGCAAGACATTTCTTTCCTTCATATTAACTTAGTCGTTTTATCAAAATGGATACAGTCGATTAAGAATCGTCAAATAAGGCGCGATGTACCGCTCCTAAACTAGGTTGTACATAACTTGAGCTGATACTACGTCTCGACCTGTAGAAAAGAAAATGCGTGGTGAAAAAAAGAAGTTCGTCGGCTGCCTACACAAACGATACATTCCAATGCAACTATTTTAAGACTATGAATTAGTTTCTGCAGCCATAGTAGATTATAACATTAAATGTGAGAAATTACACGTAATGATTTCATGTGATTGATTCAAATAAATGAATTTGTGCTGTTTTTGATTTTCATATACCATCACACGATTCAATATATAGAATAGATTTGTAGAATATATATATATATACATAAATTGTATGTTTAATGCATACAATAGAAATTTGTTGCTACTTACTCCGTAAGAGATCGAACGGCTGGCCCAGTGGGATTATTTTTTGATCGTGGATTAACGAGAAGACATTTCATTGGATGACCATCTAATTGTCGATTATGATAAGTCTCAACTGCTTTAGTTGCATCCTTTAGTGTTTTGTAGATTACTTCCGCTGTACCTGGACGAACTAGTCTCGATACGAGCAGTTCTCCAACGTCTTCAAATAATTCCTATACAATGCAAAAAAAACTTTTTTTTTCAATACTACAGCAAATACGAAAACTTATAGAAATAAGTTCTTTATCTTACTGCACCTTGATATCTTCTTGTGTAACGTTGGCTTGCAAGTTGGATACTACAATTCGATAGCCATTCGATTGCGCCGATGAACTGGAACTTGCTTTCGGCCGCGATGAAACGCTCATTGTTCTTGTCTTATTCCCAGAAGCATCAAGACGTGACTTAATTCCTACCTCTCGAAGACTTCTGGAATCATAGTACTTGGAATCTGCTGTTTCCTCTGCTACAATTGTTCTATAACCAAAAATGTACAAAGTGGTAGTTTTTTTCGATCAGTTAAATTTTAATTTTTCTATAAGATATTATTATTTACCTTGATTTTGTGCCAAAATTCCAATCTTCTTTATAAGAAGGCGAAGCAGTTTTTACCTATGATAAGGAAAAAGTAATAAAAATTAAATTGAACAGCAACTGTACAAATTTCACATAAAAGATGAAATTATTTACCATAGTGGAGCGTGCAGCAAGTTTGTTTAATAATATCTCCTTGTCATAATCTCTTTGTCTTTCTCGTTCCTTTTCTATCTCAGATTTTCGAGGTGGAATCCTAGTAACACTAGTGTTTCTAGACTTCACCCAAGTGTAAGGAGAAATCGGATTAATATTGAATACAGGAGGTGGAGGTGGAGGTGTTGGTGCATACTCGTTACTCACAGTCCTCCTCAACGAAGCAGAATCCGTCAGATAATCTAAAAGAATAAGTTAATATAAATATTTTTTTAACATATTTCAATAATTTTCAATCAAATATTTTAAAATATATCTTAAAATATTATAAAACATATTAATAACAAGAGAAAATACAAGCTTGTTAAAAGCTCTAAAAAGGTAAACAAGATAAGGTCAAAGGTCAAAATAAATGAAGTTAAAATAAGATCAAGTTAAAAAAAAAATTAAGATGACATTCATAAATAAGTCAAACTAAACATAATTGTATTTCAAACAAACAATGATATAAAACATATTGCTACAATAACAAACAAGTCGGAAAACAAATTTCCAGAAAATTAATCTTAATGTTTTGAGTCATTAAAATTTTGGAATATTAATTTTAAAATGCAATTTTAGTGTAATAACTGATCGTAGAGGAATATAAAAGTTCGTTCTTTTAAAAGTACATTTTTTTTCTTCTATATATTTTCATTCTTTTTCTGCAATTAACCGAAAAATGATAGTTTTTACTTATGTTGTTAGTATAGCAAATGAGTGAGATATGTATATATACACAAAGTGAGAATATGTATATACACATAAAGTGAGAATATATTCACATTATGTTTCATGTACCATCAGTATAATCCATATTCATGTCTCCTATATAATGAGGCTCGGCGAGAGGTGGTCTATATCCAACTGTTCTTGTGGAAGACTGCATATAATTGTTTGGCATATTAGATGGTAATACATGCTGCATCAAAGATGGCATTTTATTTGTCGACAACGAGAGTCTGCCGTTTCGGCCAGTCTTGCGTGAAATGCTTGAAAGCTGGGCATCTATCTTCTTATAATGAGACGCACGAATTTTGTCTAGCTTGAGTCGTGCATCGCTCTGCTTCGCTATTTCAGCGAGCTTGTCCCTGGCATCGGTCAGCTTCTCCCGGTTCTTCTGTATTATTTTAAATCGTGCATCTTTGATCACCTGTGAGCCACGTCCCCTCATGGAACCGTTTGCTCGTGCTCCTCTATTGACACCCCTGCGTATCCTGCACAATTACACAATATAAATTTTCTGATTTTTTAAATTTATTACAGTAACAAAAGAAAATACTGCAGAAAGATTAACGAACGTGTCTTCTTACATGACTTCTTTAGAAATCGCGGAGCAAGTTTTTATCAACCAAGCCGGATGTAATACTGGTATCATTAAAGGGAACACAATCAGGTAGATTTTGCTCAAGATTCTGCAGCTATTCACGGCTGCGAACAATACTCGCGCACGCCAGTTTATTCGAGCGACTTCGCGGAAACGGGATTGTCAACCAAAGATATCTGAAGAACGAAAATTTAAGAAAAGATTTTCACCGCACAGATTTCTGTCAATAAAAGAAAGCACGATCGTTAAGGTTATAAATATGTAACTCTCGCTATGAAGTTGGCGAGAATTCCACTAAGCAATTAACTGAATTTGCCTCACCCTCCTCTGCCTCTCATTCCTAATGATTTCTTTTTAATTATATCGTCCAGGCTTAGGCCCGTATCAGCCATAACGAAACAATTACGGATCACAGTATGCGAAGTACAAGGCGGTACAGCACCAAGCCACTCAAAACCAAACCGAATTTGAAGGACTGTAATTTCGGATAACGTCTAGTGACACGTTGCCGGAAACGCTATTGGACGCGGACTTAGGGAATTTTCGAAAGCATTTTGCGTACAAAACAGCGATCTTTAGAAAATAACGATTGATAGGTTGCTAAATTAAAAATATGTTGATAATTGGCTTTGTAAAATACGATTGATCAATTTTCTACGACTTAAGACTCTACGATTGTTACGACTTCTATTGTAGACCCCGCATAAGTCCCGAACTACACAGTAGGAGTAGTAAGTTTTAAGTCATAAAATATTGGCCAATCACGAATATAAAGCCTACGGCAAACGATGCTAGTTTTCCTGCTGGGGTGCGTTCCAAAATTCACTCCGAGTAACAGAGTTTAACTCTACGCCGTTCCAAAACGCGAGGTAACTGACCATATGGG